GCTCACCTATATATAATAAAGCTTCATTAAATAACCATAGCCATATTGTATTATAGAAGAGGGTACATAGATCAGGAACTGGATCTTCGAGCAATGATAACCCTGAAGAGGGCTACTTTAATACTACTAAAAGTTGAATATTTAGTAGAAGTAGAGATGATTATTATAACATTACGGAAGAATCATACGATAATTTTACTTTAGCATTTTACGAAGTTAGGATCAAATTCTAAGGAGTTTTTTAGTAAGATAGATGGATTTATAGGCTTTCTGGATGTATTCGTTTTAAACCGCTAACTACAATCCTTTACGAAGTTGCTTTGTTGTCTGGTGATTTAATTATCCTCTCTCTCAAATTTCACTTCGCTTCGTATGCTTTAACCTGATAATTCTCTTGTTTATAGTTAATTTATTGACGTTTCGATCGATGAAATCGATCTTCTTCAGAATTAATAGGAAATGAATGCAGAGAAATTTGTTTTATTGATTACTCATCCAATTGTCATTTTTTTCTTTATTCTCTTCATAAGTATTATATTACAGTATTGGTACGGACACTTAAATATCAAACAAAAGAAGTTCTAGTATATAGCGTCTTTTCCGTACCAATACCGTAATATTTATAGAGAAAATAAAGAAAAAATTGACAATTGGATGAGTCATCAGTAAAACAAAATTTTCTGTATTCATTTCCTATTAATTCTGAAGAAGATCGATTTCATCGATCGAAACGTCAATAAATTTCCTAATAGACAAGAGAATTATCACGTTAACACATAGGAGGAGGAGAAAATATTATACACAATCACAATAATTGAAATCAATCAACCCATTCATATAGTCTTCTATAAACCCTGAGTCAGTTGAAGACATCCATCTTCCCTCTCATATACCCTTTCATAAACCTTTTCGACCATTCATAACCTCCATACGCACTTCCAAATGAGTCTTCTGAGGTTGAACTTTGGGTATTGTATTTTTGTCAACCCTTCTAAGGGGTTTATGAGAGTGCAACGTGTAGCAAACCCTTTAAGGTTTTATGAAATTTATAATCCCTTTCATAAACCCTTCAGGGTCAATTATTGCAACTCATAAATTCTATATTCAACCATTTTTTAGGGTTTATGAAACGGTTTATAGCGCCTTAATAAACCCTTTAACAGGGTTTGTGACACGTTGCACTTTCAGAAACCCTTTTTTCGTTTTTATTCTATCCCAGGTCCATCAATCCTAGAATAGAATCAGATAGGAACCGGTCAGATCCCATCGAAATTCGACCGAACCCGATCGGATTACGTCGGATGACCGCGTTGAGGAATCCGACCGGATCCGGTCTTCGGAGACCAATCGGAAACAACTGTCATGATACCATCGGATCTACGGGGCTCGGAATCTAATGCAATCCCACAGAACCAACCCCATCGGAAACAATTATCATTCAACTATCGGATCCCCCGGATCGGATTCTATTAGAATCTTACAGCACAAAACCCTTGGGAAGTACCTGTCATTAAACTATCGGATATCTTGGGGCTCAATCAATCATCGAGGATTCGAATTGCTGCACCTCCATAATCTATTACAAACGTACCTGAGAATTTTGCTAAAAGTTGGAATAAAAAATCTATCTTTACAACTTTGGACTTTGGACTGGAGCTATTTTCTGACCAATGGAAGCTCGCCTCGAAAAACTAATTACGGATTAGAATTGTTGGGTCGCCTTTGCCTGTTAGAAACTAATAATTTAGAGTTCGTCATCGTATCCTATTGGGAATTGATTGAAACCCATAGTAGGAATGCGTACTGATTCCGACGAATGGATATCGGTGGATATTCGTAGGAATCCGACTTTCGGATCCGTCGTTGTATTCCTCAAGCCGGTAGCCCGATAAAATCCTATAGGATGGTGGCATCCTATAAGATCCAATAGGATCCTGCGTCGGATTGAACGACCTGGGTACGGATATTTTTTACAGTGCCGTGGAGGGACGAGCTGATCTCCCTAGGGAAGTTTGACCTAACCACCACGAAATTTCTGAGCCATGCATTTTTGTCGCTAGGTAAGGGTCAACCGCATTCAGCCTTAAAGATCTTTCAGTCCCATTCTGTTTGCCTTTCGTGTTCACTTATAGTGCTGTTACTTGAAACCTTTAATTTTCGTCTAATACTACCTCATTTTCACTGCTTCCGATCCCCTTTACAGCACTGTAAAAAAACGGTTTACGAAAGTGCAACGTATCACATATCCTTTTTTCTGTTTTTGAAAAATCTGATAAACCGTTTTTCCAAATCATAAACCTAAAAATCATTTATTATGTTCTTCATATGCGGAAAAAGGGTTGATGATACGTTGCACTTTCGTAAACCTAGGGTGTGTGGGTGTGAGTAGAATTGCGTAATCCAGCCCCACACGCACACCCACACCATTCAGGATCATCAAGTGACCAATGTTTTTTTTACTTTTCTAATCATCCTGTCTTGTATAGCTTAAAAATGCCTACCGACTAGTCAATATGAGAACAGTTCTATTCTGATAGATTGGTGTTCAAAATGGGACTCTTTTCAAGAGAAACAGTACAATGGTCAATTTCGTTTAGTGTCCATAACTTTTTGAAATTCACTTTTTTCGGGAAGGATTTATTATCAAAATGCTTGTCTCAACGACAGCTTTCGTTTCATATGCAATTTGACTAGGTTCAGTTGAAAAAATCGGAATGGGCCGATAGGGTATCTTATAAGCTCCTGTCCTTTACTTATCTTTAATTAATTAACAATTGTTTACCTTGTACCCATCAATTGTATACCATGCTTCACCGCAACTCCGATCGAATTCAACGAAGTGTATATTTGCCAGTGGTCCTAAATAAGAACGCCACACATGTGCCGAAGCTCCTGGTCCGTATGGCATACCACACCCAAGTCCGATTTCGAGCAAATCAACACTAGATCCAACATACTTTCGCAAATACTTCTCATAGTATAAACCGTAGTTATGAGACGTTACTTTATCTGTCTTATAGAGCTTGCTTATATTGAAGAACGATTTCCCATCAGTATTGTTTAACAAACCGCCATTTCCATTATTTAAAAGTATTGAACGGTTTGCATTGAAGTATTGAGAAATTTGAGTGAGGTTTCGAGGATAACCGATCCATAGACCAATCGAAAGCATTGCTATCACGCTTGCCGCTATGCAAACACTTAGACTATTTTTTTTCAGCATAAAATTGAACGTTGCAGGTAGCATGCTAAGAGAAATTAAATACCTTAACGAATCATCTAAATGGTTTGAGGAAAAAACCATAGTGAGTGCGGGTGTGAGTATGGGTTCGGGTTTGGGTGTGGATTATGTAATTCTACCGACACCCACACCCACACCGTCATGATTTCTCCCGATTTTTAGTTTTCTTTCTATTTTGTTTTTAGCGATATTTTGGATCAATAAGAGAATTAATGGGAGCAAAGAGAACTATTGCAGTATTTAATAGTTATTGAAACGAATGAGAAAATAATGACTTTTATTTCATTCTTCTTTTAAAAACGTCATCATTTACATGACCTAATTGTATGCAAAGTACTTGTTTTGCTGTATAAAGGAGAAAAGTATATGTTATTGTTTAGAAAACAATATCTTAAGAGAGAGTCCATGAAATCACCACCCAACTCGGCAACCGAAAATTTTTAGATTTTGAAATTAGATATCAGGTTCGATAGAGCATACAAAACGAGGCATAAATTCAAATTTGTACTATTTTTGAACAAAGTCTTCTTTCGATTTGGGGACCCAACTTTTTTGAGGTTCCAAGCTTATGTGTAAAAATCTTTTTGTTCAAAACGTTTTTCGATCGAATCTTTTTGTTCGAAAAACTAATTAATAGAATAATTATCTTATGCCATTCGATGGCGCGGAATCCACTCTAAAAAATGCCATATTTTACTCATCTCTTCATGCAATCTGTTATTCCTGAGAACTCTTGTATCGTCGTAGAGTACCCATTTTATGCCGGATTTTTACAAGACTTTTTATCAATTTTTACTCTCTGTCCGCTCTATTTTTACATTGGCCAAGCTGGAGTTTAACTTATTTCGTAGAGCACGAAAAGGCGCATCTTTTCACTA